CACACACACATATATACACACACACACACACACACACACACATATATACACACACACACACACACACACACACATATATGTATTGCTGCTACTTCACGGATTTTTACCTATCATGAGGGTCTCCAGAACGTAACCCCCGCGATAGGTGAGGGATCACTGTATGTTTTAGGGATGCCTCTCAGCTACAACTACACCAAATTTTAGCTCATTATTTGTGAGTATAAGCCATTTTGGTGTTTGTTAAGACTGACTAGATGTAGCAGAAATAATTTATGGCAGTTTCATTAAAATGTGTCCAGTAGCTCATGAGATGTTTTGATAAGAGACAGAGACAAACCCTTCAACGCAGTGGACAATAATAATTGACCGGGGGGACCAAAAGTAGCATCGACACTTTTGTGTTTTCAGGGTGTCGACATGATTATTATAGTCCAGGGCAGCTGCTGTATTTTCTCTCTTTTCTCCGGAGCAGAGCAGAGACAGGACAGCAACACATCCCTCTCCTTGTTACAGCCTCGCTGTGTAAAGACTGAAATGAGGAGGGATCAATGCCCTGCACCCGTCGCCGCCCAGGCCGAGGTGCAGTCGTGCCAAGCTACACCTCGTACCAGCTGGAAGCTTGCGGACAACTGGTCATAGCACATTGTGCCCTGTAACAGAGCGTTTCCTCTCCCTCATCAAGTGGCATAAGCCTCAGACCTCAGCTTCCCGCCATTTCCAATCCCATCCCAGCAGTCTGGTTTATCCACAGTCGATCTGTGATATCCGTGAAATGCTCGGGATAGTTCCCCTGCAGCTGCTGCACATCTTGGCTCTGCTGGAACTCGTCATCTTAAAATGCTTTAACATTTTCAAGCTCATTCTTGCTGTGCAGGCAGGGCAGATCACTTTTATCTTAGCACGATAAAACGTGTGCAATACTGAAGGAAATTTTACAACAAGGCGCCGTGAGCATGCAGGGATTAACAGAGATAACAGCTGTTACACCCACAGCAGCTTCAGTGTTCACATCCTACTGTTGTTTTCCCATCAGTCTTGCTCTTTCCGCCTCCACAGACAACCTATAAATGGATTAAAATGTTTCCTGTCACCCTATACACCCAAACAAACATTTTTTGATTGGCTCCTTCGCTAAAGGCAGAGACAGATCTTTGCGTCTGGGGTCAGCAACCTTCAGAATTAAAAGCACCATTTTTTACAGTGTCTCCTACAAAATAAACTATATGACTCACAAAATCTGTTTGACTGTTAAAATTAGGATAAAAATATATATAATGATATACTACATATGTTGCATTGATGCATTTTATTTATTTTTTTTATGCTTTCTTTTAGGCTTTTAGTCCACTTTCATAAGTAGAAAGTTCCTGGCAAAACTTCAACAGGGACTGCCATGTGGCGGCCATTTTAAAATTTCGATTTTACACTACGATGTGTTTAGGTTCACTCTCAGCTACCACCACACCAAACTTCAGCTCAAAAACCGCAAAAAATCAATGAGCTATAGTCATTTTTTCTTTTACGCTATGGTGGATTTTTTATTTGGACTCAGTATGTGATGGGGAATGTATTCAGCTATAACCACACCAAATTTCACCTCTGTGTGTAAAAATAGCTGAGTTAAAGTCATTTAAATGTAGCTTTGGTGGCCATCTTGAATTTTTTTTATTATTATTTATTGGGCATTGCTCTCAGCTACCACCACACCAAATTTAGGCTTAATATTTCTATAAATGGCTGATTAACAGTATTTTTCCTTTATAGCTTAGGTGTCCATCTTGGATATTTGTTTTGCAACCAGTCTATGAAAAACTACTAATAAAAATGGCCTCTTTGTTTGCAAATTATATCGCCATGGTAACTCGAAATACTAATAAATGTAATAGCACACATTACTCGTTTTGATATAACATTTGTGGGGATACACGTTGGAATTTGGGCCGCATTAAAGTTGACGGAAGAGTAAGATATAAAGTTAAGAAACCTTTTGTCAGGTGGATAATAATAGGTGGCTGCCTTATTAGACAATCTCCAAAAACACTGTTGAAATATTTTAGTTTTCCTTATAATTGTAAAAAAATATATAATATTAGCAGCTCACTGACACATTAAAGATAAAAATGCTCCATGCCTGATGTTTTAAAAAGATTGAACTCAAAATCAAACCAGTTTATTGGTTATTCATGATTTAAATGTCCTCAATACACGCCACAACTTTGATTTACTGAAACTGCTTGAAGTACCAGTCTTTTATTAGCAGCAAGTCTTTATTTCTAAATAATTACTTCCTGTTAATCAGTACACTATGTTTTGATGCAACAATGTTCAGTCAGGTCATCTGGATGTTTGTTTTGTTTTTTTTTGCCGAGGTGTTTCATCCTTCATCCAAAGGACTTCATCACTCTGAGGAGCCACAAACAAACTGGAGTCCCACAAGCAACACACCCACAAAATGGAAAAAAGAAACAACAGTTTGCATGGTGATAAGATGGTTTCTGGGGCCCACCCTCTCTGCCGTCAACTCCTCAGAGGAGTGTCAAAATGGTTCAAAACACTAAAAGTTCACTTCTGATGAAGTCCTTTGGATGAAGGACGAAACGTCTCAGCAAAAAAAGAAATTGTCCAGATGACATGACTCAACATTGTTGGAATTTTTTTTTTTTTTTACCTGGAGCATGAACTTTGGTTTGTGTTGATGCCTTTTAAACCAAGTAATTTCCAAAACCAGGATTCGATTTGGCGACCTTCTCGCTGAGAGGTGGCAGCTCTACCAACTGCACCACCGTGCCCTTTTAAGCACAGTGTAGTGGCATTTCAGTTTATATTCTGCTGATTTGGCGACAGATATGATGTGAATCTGTGCGTACAGTATAACAAAGATGTTTATCTGTTGAAAGAACTAAGTTCAACACGCTTGCGTTGTTGGTGTCACTTTAAAGCAGAAATGTCCTGCACGTATTGAATATATATAGATGGTTCAGCTGCTACAACTAACCTTTCATTCATTCATCCTTTATTTATACAGGTTAATCCCATTGAGCCTCGGGGACTCATTTACAAGAGAGACCTGATTTCTTTAACAAAGAGTGATGACAACAACAACAATAGACAATCATAAAGGATGCGTACAATTTTTGTTTTTAACAAGTTAAAATAAAATGGCAACCAAAAGGACAATCAAAAGGAAAAGTAGCGAAAAAAACAGCTAGATTATAAGGCGATGTAGAAAACTAAAAACAGGAACATGTCTGCATTGGTTCTTGCCAGGAACTTAACAGATTTTCGAAGCCACTTAGAGAGGTCAAGGTCGAGAGCTTCAGATTTTTTTTGCAAGATATTCCAGGAAACATGAGCAGAGTAGGAGAAGGCCCTTTTGCCTAGTTCAGTTCTCACTGAAGGAACACTGCAGGTAATAATGTCCTGACAGCGCATGCTGTAACTGCACTCGCGCAGAGACATGTAAGAGGAGATGTATGAAGGCAACAGACCAAGAAGTGACTCAAGCTCAGTTCATGCTTGGTTAAAGTTACAAGGAGCCCAAAAGCACAGGTTAGTAGATGAGTGGCGGCAGATCAGATTCTACATGTAAATAACTCTTAAATATTTTTGTGTTTTTACTGAGCAATAGGTGTTTTCTATTTATTTTTTTTATTGTGGTGTTCACATGATTTTATTGTTTGTAGTGTACTTAACTGTGGAAGAGGCTTTGTTTAACGCATGATGTCCAAGACGAATTTCCCCTTGGGGACAATATAGTATACATCTATCTATCTATACATCATGTCATCAATCATGTAAACATGATTGTTAAA